AGTGCTCTGCAGGCTCCTGGGAAAAAAAAATCACACTTTTTTTGTACCTGCAAAAACTTGGGTATTTATTATTATTATTTATTTATTTATTTAAAAAGGTGTGCTTAGCCTTTAAACAAGTTAGTATATATTTATTTTATTATTTACTACAAGTATAGTGCCGACAATTTACACACTAATTTACATATACAGTATATTATACAGTCATGGCCGAAATTGTTGGCACCCTTGATATTTTTCCTGAAAATCAAGTATTTCACACAAAAAAAAGGTATTGCATTAACACATGTTTTGCTATACACATGTTTATTCCCTTTGTATGTATTGGAACAAATAATAAAAAGAGAGCAGAAAAGCAAATATGACATAATGTCACACAAAACCCCAAAAATGGGCTGGACAAAAGTATTGGCACCCTTAACTTAATATTTGGTTTGCACACCCTTTGGAAAACATAACTGAAATCAGTCGCTTCCTATAACCATCAATAAGCTTCTGACACCTCTCACCGGAATTTTGGACCACTCTTCCTTTGCAAACAGCTCCAGGTCTCTCTTATTGGAAGGACACCTTTTCCCAACAGCAATTTTAAGATCTCTCCACAGGTGTTCAATGGGATTTAGATCTGGGCTCATTGCTGGCCACTTCAGAACTCTCCAGCGCTTCTTTGCCATCCATTTCTGAGTGCTTTTTGACGTATGTTTGGGGTCATTGTCCTGCTGGAAGACCCAGGATCTTGGACGCAAACCCAGCTTTCTGACACTGGGCCCTACAGTGCGACCCAAAATCCTTTGGTAATCCTCAGATTTCATGATGCCTTGCACACAGTCAAGGCACCCAGTGCCAGAGGCAGCAAAACAACCCCAAAACATCATGAACCTCCACCATATTTTACCGTAGGTACTGTGTTTTGTTCTTTGTAGGCCTCATTCCGTTTTCGGTAAAACAGTAGAATGATGTGCTTTACCGAAAAGCTCTATCTTGGTCTCATCTGTCCACAAGACGTTTTCCCAGAAGGCTTTTGGCTTACTCAAGTACATTTTGGCAAACTGTAGTCTTGCTTTTTTATGTCTCTGTGTCAGCAGTGGGGTCCTCCTGGGTCTCCTGCCATAGCGTTTCATTTCATTTAAATGTCGACGGATAGTTCGCGCTGACACTGATGCTCCCTGAGCCTGCAGGACAGCTTGAATGTCTTTGGAACATGTTTGGGGCTGCTTATCCACCATCCGGACTATTCTGCGTTGCAATCTTTCATCAATTTTCCTCATCCGTCCACGACCAGGGAGATTAGCTACAGTGCCATGGGTTGCAAACTTCTTGATAATGTTGCGCACTGTGGACAAAGGCAAATCTAGTTCTCTGGAGATGGACTTGTAACCTTGAGATTGTTGATATTTTTGCCACAATTTTGGTTCTCAGGTCCTCAGACAGTTCTCGTCTCCTCTTTCTGTTGTCCATGCTTAGTGTGGCACAGACAGACACACAATGCAAAGGTTAAGTGAACGTCTCTCCTTTTTATCTGCTTTCAGGTGTGATTTCTATATTGCCCACACCTGTTACTTGCCCCAGGTGAGTTTACAGGAGCATCACATGCTTGTAACATTCTTATTTATCCGCAGTTGTGAAAGGGTGCCAATACTTTTGTCCAGCCCATTTTTTGGAGGTTTGTGTGACATTATGTCGAATTTGCTTTCTTTCTTTTCCTCCCTTTTTTTGTTTTGTCCCAATACACACAAAGGGAAATAAACATGTGTATAGCAAAACATGTGTTAATGCAATACGTTTCGTGAGAAATACATGATTTCCTGGAGAAATATCAAGGGGTGCCAACAATTTCGGCCATGACTGTACATTCATATCAGTTCCTGCCCTCAAGGAGCTCACAATCCAAGGTTCCCAAATTCATACGCACACATACTAGGGCCTATTTACTGTATATGAGAGCAATTTAACTTGTGAGCATGTCTTTGGAGTGTGGGAGGAAACCAGACTACCCAGAGGAAACCCACACACGCACAGGGACAGTATGCAAACCCCATGCAGGAGTTAGTAAAAAAGTTAGTGATGTAAAAAAGAACTTGTGGATTTAACTAATAATGTTTTGCTTGTTAATTCTTGATGGTCAGCATAACTGGCAGATGTAGCATAAGTGTGTCCTTTGCCTTCTTTGTGCTATTTCTCTTTCCCATATCAGAAAGTTGGGTGGTGAAGAGTTGTATTGCAGTCAGCACTCTTCCTGGCATTAGCAGAGGGTTTCAATTTCACACTACACATCTACCAATTCTCAGTAGGCTGGATCAGCTCAAGCATCAATCAGTCAACCTTTCTATGGCCACTCAGAGTCTAACATTTTCCCTTTTGAAGCAACATTCTACCGTAAAAGCCTTCAGTTAAAATGCCATGCATCCATGTGTGTAGATTTCCTAGCACATTTAATTAACGTTTGTGAAATGCATTGCAGGCTCCACACTTTCTGCTCACAGTGATAAAAGTAAATAGCAGTTTTTTACACATTTGGCATGGTATCTGGATTTTAATTAAAAAGGTAAGAAATATTACATAAAATTTGTGGATAATTGGATAATTATGTTTCTGCCATGGTTACATATTTTAATTAAAGCATACATTTTAAAGTCTACCTTGTATAATTAGAATATCTGTAAATAAATAATCTATTAAAAAAACATAACTATCATAATAACTACATATTTGTTGGCTTTTTTTGTGAAAGGTATTAGGGAGCCGCCCAATATTGTATATTTGTAGCGCCCTGTGCTTCACTGTAGTCAGCGGAGCAAGGATCTGTTCTTTTGGTTTCTTCAAGGTTTTCCATGCTGGATGATTGTTTCTGATTGTTTCAGCATGGAATCAATTGGTTATGAATATTTATCAGACCTCAGCCAATCCCTGGGAGGGGGTACCCAGAAGGTGGCTATATATTTCGGAGTCCTTTCTGGAGCGTTCTTTAATCTTCAAGGAGGGTTCCAGTTCTCCAGGGGCTGCTGCTCCTGGGAGGTAGCTAGTATGAGGGAATATTTTGAGTTTGAGTTTGAAGATTTGCTAAAGGATTTTTGCTGGAGGGCACTGTCCTGGAGTTATGGTTTGGAGAAGGATCTTTTGTCGCCTTACTGAAGACTGTCATTTGTGAGCCAGGTGACAGACAGCTCCTGGGACATTGTGAGTAAAGACTTAGTTTGGGACTTTCATGTGTGCCTGCTGTTATAGGATTTGCTCTAAGAAGTTTGTCCTCTTGTTGATACCTAATATTGTTTTGAAATATCCTGATCCCCTTAAATCCCCTTCTGTTCATGTTTCTGCAAAAAAAACCCCACAAAACAATCACCTAGACTGAGCCTGAGTTCTCAGTGTGTGTGGAACTGTGTCAGTAGTTGGCAGCCTCTGTACTAACAATGGAGACCTGGGCATATTCTCAGCAGCCCATTCTAGGGAGACCACTACATATTATTCAGCCTGTTTTCTTTTTTTCTTTATTGCAAGGCTTACAGGAGACTTTGATTTGTGCTCTGGTTCAGGGCAGAAAGAGTGGAGATCAATTGCGTCATAGATCATATGACCAGCAGACCAGGGTCTCAGTTTGACAATCTCTAAATTCCGAGCTAGATCATCTGCTCAGCAAAACTATTCAAACCAAACCTTCTCTGAGTTCTTTTCTTTTCTTTATCTCCTTAAACTAATTTTTACCCTAGGACAAGAAGTGTGTTAGGACTGCATGACTCCTCCACATCTCCATAACAAAGGAGAGGTGTTCTAAAGTTCACAAAGAGCACTGTGGATAAAACTCAGTGATAGCAGTTAGCAGTGTCAAAGATGACAAAAAATTATCAGCTCACTGAATTTTTTTCAGAATCAACAGGTATTTATCAAGTTGATATAATTGATATCACTCTATAGGTGGTGTATTTAATAGACTAAAAGGAGCAAATAAGATAAGTTCATATTTGGGTTTACATACACATATGTTATATTGGGCAACACACACAACTGTGATATATAAGCCCTGGAATGGGATGGAGGGGACATCTGCTCAGGCATCCTTCATGGTCTGCAATATGTTACTGACATCATAGCCTTTTGTGTATTTAAAAAAATGCCTTGTTTAAATATGGAGGAATTAGAGCCAAATATGGTATCACTTTTATCTAATGATTCATGAATCTAAGAACAGCTAGTTTGCAGTTCAACACCTGATACCTTGATATATTTTGTGTTCTTGCTACATCTTTTCAAAGCATTGAAAGCTTCCACTGCATGTCCAGTTGACATGCTAAGAGTTAGGCATAGCTTCACTCAGTAACATACAGAAATTATCAAACATCTAAAAGAGTTTAAAATGTGGGCCCAGTCCACCCAATTTTTTTGTGACCAAGAATACCTTCTGTTTTAATGTGTACATACTGTATACCCTAAATATTTATCAGTTTGGACCCCTGTTCATTTTTAATTGTGGCATATGTCTTGTTGGAGAAATTTCCCTTCATTTCCTGTCCCAGAGGAGATGCAGGTATAAGACATTTTTTTACCAAGTGAGGGGTTTTCCTCTCTTAGACAGTTGCCATAGGAACTGGTGTCTCTGTTGTAAGATGTCCTCTGACATCCTCTTTCAGTGAAAATTGTATAGTTTGGATTTTCCATCACTTTCTTCCTTGGTGACAGTGGTTACCAGTATAAATAATGAAGGTGAATCTCTCTAGTGCAGACATAGACAGCAAATAAAAACCTGACAGGGGTCTGACCCTTATCTACTCTATCCAAAATTTGAGGTGACTGTATATATGATTTAAAGTGTTACTAAACCAACAATAGTAAAATCAGTCTGTATATATAGTAAAGCATGCTTGTTATACTCACTGTGGAATTTAAGGGGTTATCCTCTGCATTGTGCAAAAAGGATGTTTGATTCTGTCTTCTCTGATCCTCTCCTTCTTCCACATTCCCCATTTCATCTCCTGATAGAACACAGCCTCAGGGACACTCTGCACATGCTCAGTTTGGTGAGTACTGCTAGAGATTTATTTTTTTTTCTTAAGAGGGTGCATGTGATCCACACAGGGCCAATCAGCACTGTCCAGACAGAGGGTCAGGGGTTATGAATTTTCATAGAACACAACAAACACTTTTCTCCTGTGCTAGGAAAGGACTCAGTAGACCCAATAAGAATGTTCTGGAATTTTCTGGAATATGCACTGCTTGCTGCCCTCAACAGACCGGGGTGGTCCAAATACACTAGATGCAAATGGAGAAACAGAAAAAGGGTGCACTGACCTAGTGCATTATTGTTTAAAATATTTATTGAAGAAACAAAGTAAGTATAATACTTACAATAGACATAAAAACACAGGCATGTCAAACTGACCAAGATATATGATCCAAACAACATCTGAGTCCATATGACGGAACCCTGGATGACCAACTGGCTAACGCGTTTCGAGGACACAACCTCTTCCTCAGAGCCCATCGTTGGACTTACTTTGTTTCTTCAATAAATATTTTAAATGATAATGCACTAGGTCGGTGTGCCCTTTTTCTGTTTCTCCATTTGCATTTAATGAATTCTCATAGGCAGGGGTGGACTGGCCATCTGGAAACTCGGGCAGTGCCCGAGGGCCCGGGGTCATGAGACGCCCCTGGTACCTTTTTCATAGACTTTTTTGAGTTTGGGCAAGGACATAGGGGCCCCATGATCCCCTACTGCCCGGGGGTCCCATGAGTTGTCAGTCCACCCCTGCTCATAGGGCAGTGACAGGAGAATGAAAACTCCTCCTACAAGCTTTAACCAGTGCTCAGCTAGACACTAATAGAAGTCACAAGACTGCTCTAATTGCTGATGAGAAAGGGTATTTAGCAGTTTATAGTTACTAAAATAATTGCATTTCCATGTTCTGTGTACTATGGGAGACAAGATATAGTAAATCTGGCTCCTGAGTTTAGTAACACTTTAACTCTCCAGCATCAACCAAAACCTGAAATAACAGTTTCTGGTAGACTGACCTTTTAATACATGTGGGAAGGTCATATGACTTTTTAATTGATTGGATAAAAGACTTCCTTAAAAACATTTACAATATTTATTTAATGCTATGCTGTCATTGAAGCAATTGAGCTGAGTGCTTGGAAAATGTGCCAGTAGAAAAATGCATAGGAATGACATGCTGTAACTTCTGGCAGCACCCAAGGCAATGTAACATTTCCAAGGTCACCGTTAACTTCCGATGCTTATTTGCAGCTCACAGTTTTCATGCCAGGATCAAATTAACAAGGATATGAAATAAAAAAAAGGATAACATAACAGATTGGTTTAAACTAGATAAATAATTGATTCACATAGGACACTCTCAGGCATTCTGATTTCCTTTGACCTGGTTTTGTAGCATAAAGCAATACATAGCAAAATTAACTTCTCAACTGGACATAAAAAATATTTGTATTTGCTTTATTGACAAGGATGCTAGAAACCTAGGAACATGGAAGATTTGTGGCTGAAAAAGGACAAGTGGTCCATCAAGATTTTCCTTTTTATTCTTTTTGTCTGGGTAGAAATTAGATCAGGATCATAGGTTTGAGATTTCCCCAAAAAAGGCCTTAAAAGTTATGATAATCTGATAACTGAAAGGTCACTGTGATAAGTCCATTTTCAGTGGGCCTGCAATAAAGATGTATGAAGACTGCATTTACAGTCCTGACAATTCAAATTGCTTGACTATCATACTTACTGGCTTCAGTACTTTCTGGGTAACTAGTATGTAGACCTGGAGGTATAATTTCCTAATGTTCAAGTTTAGTGTGTCAGCGACAATATATTGTAGCCAGAGACAGCCAAGCAAAATGCAATTTTCAGAAGAAGGTGAGCAATGTCAGCCTTTTTTTTCTAAAAAAAAAGTCCCCTGGTAGTGTTAAAAAAAAAGCTCAAGATGAAATACCCAACTTCAGTCTGGAACTGTCTCTCACAGTACCTCTTCTCCACCATAAGATGTCCTGAGTCTTTGAGTCTGAATTATGTCCAGTGTTGTGTAATCAAAAAGATTGAAAGCATACTGTGAGTGCAGGGCATCATTTCCACACCCCCCCCTAAGATAGTTTCACTGGGGTGCCCTTCATTCACAGTGAAAAGGTGTAGAGATGGCACTAATATCTTTACTTCAATGGTACTTTCTGCATCAGTAAGGATCACCCAATCAGGAGAAGAGGTAAAGAGGACCTTATGGTGTCATATCACCAGACTGAAGACTTATGAAAAAGGTAAGTATGCAAAAACAAAGAGCAAAACATAAAGCCAGTGGAGGTGGAGCACAGAGCCTGGAGATGGGCTTTTTTGTGAACCTAACATTAAATATATATATTTTTAATTTCAAGTGTATTCGTGATAAATAACACTTAGAGGCACACATTACCTTTCACAGAATTCACTTTACTATACCTGACAATATCTTATCCTGCTTTTTTCATCCAAAGGATGGCACTATCTTTATTCAGGAATTATTCAAGGTCAACATTTATTTCCTGGATTGAAAAGCTGGCTCAATAATTCCCTATTCTATTAAAAACAGAAGTTTTACCATATTCTCCTTGGGATTTAGTGGGCTTCATGTCTCCCTGACATCTCGTGTTATTTTCTTTCTATGCAGTATTGATGTTTATGTAAATACTGTGGTGTTGGTTGTGTGAGAGAACAAAAGAGGTTGATCATTATCCTACAGTGTGGATCTTACAGTGTGATATTTTTACTTTAGACTGCACATTATCAGCCAAGTTTCCATGAAATACTAGGTTTACATTCGAAGGTTGCTACGGGTTCCTTGAGTAATGGAACTGGACCTTCTACTTGACCGTGTCTGAATAATTCCAGGACCAACTTCACTTGGCAGAGCCAGAGGTGTGGAGCACCTGTACTCTTTTGCATAAGTAACCACTGGTTACCAGTGATCTTTTGTCTGAAAGGCTGGCATTCTTCCCAATTACAAAAGTAAGACAAGTTTTTACCACTAGCTTACAGTATAGTGGGACATTATTTCTATTGACCCGCATTGTAAAAGACATTTATCTTTCTACTGACCATAGATGTAAGTAGCTCATACAGTGCTTCTGTCTGCACTTCTTTTTTGGCCAATTTATTGTTTCCTTTAATTTAATTATATTTTATGAATATTTTGATTGTGTAGAGCTGGAGGGTTTTAATAAATTATCTGCTTTGGATTTCAGGTACTCTAGGTATACCATATTCTTGAAATATTATACCTTCGTTTTACTGGTCATGTTAAAGTACCAAGATAACATTATTTTTTAGCAGGGATTGCCTGAGACATAAATAGCCTCATGCACACTGCAGCTCAAAGAATCTGCTCCTACAGACATTTGAGCTGTTTTGAGATTTTTTTTTCTCTGCCTGTTAACTCCCCTCCATGTTAGCATATGTGTCTATGTACATGATAGGCATTTGCAGGAGTTTAGTGGCAGGGAAGTTTACAGGCAGAAAAAAAAAAAAAATCACTTGTGCATCCAGAAGAGAAGTTTTTGAGCCCATAAAACGTTCAAAAGTAAAGAAAACATGCATTAGCTCACATAAACACACATTAGCATGTGTTAATGCATTCTACTGGCTAGAATTCTAGCTAATAGAATGCATTAATGCCAGATGAAGGAAGCACATTAATGCAAAAACGTGACATTTTTGATTCTGAAAACCCTCGTAGCTCAAAACACGTTTTTGAGCTTCTCAGTGTAAATGAGGCCAAAGGGTTTGTCTAAGAAAAAAAGCAAAAAAGTTGAGAAAGCTGTAAGAGTACATGTCTCCTTTAAAGTGGACCTGGGCTCAAAAAGTCAAGGTTTGCTGTTATAGGCAGTAATCAGAAATGTGAATTGTGGCTGAGCAGTTTGGTAAACAAAATTTTCTTTTTCTTGAATTTCTTTTTTGAAAAAGTGCAGTGTACATCCTGGTATGTGGAGTATAGGAACTACAGTACAGCCTCATAGCTATATATCTTCAGTATGAGATCTAAGGCACTGCTGCCTTTGACTGCTAGTCACAAGAGATCTGGATTGAGATTTGGTTTTGGCATGTCATTACCAAGATGGCCACCTCCACACAGAGATACAGCAGAGAACAAAGCATGGTCACTCAGTAATAGAGAAAAGATCCCTGCTGGGGGACAACAGGCGATACTGGTGACTAGTCCTTTGTCCTATGCTTGTCTTTTTTGGACACAGCTTCCAGAGTTCCATATTTTGTAAGGTCAGACTCACACATGAATTTGACTTCATAACTCACTTCCTACATATTTCCGATGTTATAGACAGTGACCTTCAATTCTGACCCAGTCATCCCACATTAATTTGTTTTCACAACTCTTGTCTATTACTATCCCAGCTAATGACACCATTGTATAAATATAATGCATCCTTTGTTCAAATGTAGAAAAGGAATTTCCCTAGATAACTAATTTATTGTTCTTTATAATTCATTTCCCAGTTACATAAATAATGGGTTATTTGTTACCTGAGGAATAGCCAGTCAGCCGTATAATATATGAGATAATGTAACTCCTGCTATAATTAGAAGAATATTAGGATTCACCACATCCAATGAATGTATAAATGCACAATGCCTGTGTTCACTACCAGGTTAATATCCTTAATGAGTGGCAAAACTGGCACTTACACAGTCACTGAAGGACACAGATTGACAGACATTGATGGATGGAAACAAATGATGACAAACAGAAATGATGGTGGCAGACACTAATGGGAAAATGTAGAAAGGTTGAAGCTAGGTACAATTATTCCTAGTTGTTCTTAAAAAAACACACCCACCTTGGACCATTACATCTACTAGGCAAATGACCCCTCAAAACTAATTAGATATTTTCCATATTGTATAAATGATTTAACCTTTAATCAGAATGTGATATCTATGCAGATGTTATGTATAGGATTTTTGATATATACTTGATAAGGAAAGTATTAAATAGGGATAAGCAAACTTGGCTGATTTTACTTCAACAACTTTAGTATCTCAGAAGCAGCTCTTGCAAACTGTGTGCTTGATATTCAAGCGGAGTTCCAGCTGAAAAAAAAAAAACGTCAGCAGCTACAAAAACTGTAGCTGCTGACTTTAAAATACAGCCACTTACCTGTCCCTCAGCCCAGTGGTGTCCTCACCACTGCTGGTTTCACTGGCTGTCTTCTTTCCCCAGCGCCAGCATCTTCAGTGTGGGCACTGAGCTGTCACAGCTGTCACAGCCGGGCACCCACTGCGCATGCGTGAGTAGCGCTCTGCTTTCTGAATGGCCTGTAGTCTTCTGGTACCTGTCATCTGTCCCAGCAGACTACGGGGAGAAGGGGGAGGACAACTTCCACTTACGATCGCCTAGGTGATCATAGCGGAAGTGGGAATGGGTACCTGTCAAATTCAGGTACCCGCTCCTCAAAGGTGCAAATCCTTAATGGAGAGCAGAGGACAAAGGCTTAAAGTGGAACTTCCCCTCTTGGGTGGAGCTCCGCATTAAATACTAGATTGATGCATGACAGTAGCAGAACACTATAGTATCAAAGGGAGTAACACTGTAGCAATGTTATTTTGCTACATTGTAAAAACTCTGGTTCATTCTTAGCAGATCAGTGTGGTGACCTTTGATCTGCATATTATGTTAGTTAAAACAACCTTGCGAGTAAATGAATATATAACTGTGTTCCTATTTTCTATTTATTTATTACAGACACTTACGCAGCACTTTACATCTCTTATATATATTTTTACATTCACATCAGTCCCTGCCATCAAGGAATGTATACAGGGTCGCCATCGGGGGGATGGGGGGGAAGCCCATACACATATATGGGGCCCAGGCATCCCATGGGGCCAGGGCATCCTGAGGGCAGGGCAGACTGGGTCAGGGGCAATTGCGGCATGAATAAGCAAGAGTCGGAGGA